TTCTCTCTCTCAAATAAATAAATAAAATCTTTAAAAAAAAAAAATTTGTCTCACTTTCTAGTTCTCCTTTCCTCATATACCCCCTTTGCCCTCCCCATCACACCCCTCTATTTAGGCCACAGCTTGTGAAAACATGTTGCAGAAGTTTTTTTAACACAGAATATAGGGAACCTTTTATTTAAGTGTGAACTCTAGTTGCCAATCTCAAGAAAAAGAGATCTTACTGGCAACTTTTAACAGCAGGCTAAAGTTATTTATTATAAAAGTCCTTACAATTGTGTTATCTTTAGATTATAAGTTGTGGATTCTACGTTCATTACCACTACTGACTGCCTCAAATGGCGGTAAATTTTCTCACGTGGTTTGTAATATTTTGTTTTTGAGCTCAATTGTAGTACGAATTGTTTTTACTGGAAATCCTTTCTGCTCTGGGCTGTCAGAGCGTCCTTATAAGTTGTGTTGTGTTGTGTTTTTTTTTTTTTTTTTTTTTTTTTAATGTTCCTACCAGAGTCCTAGAAATGTCACGTTCTACTCTCATGTGTGATATAAACTTAGGTTTCAGTTTCTGGTGGGTGAATCCTTATTTTCCAACTAAAATCCAAAGGATTCTCAGCTTCCTTGCCAATTCCTTTTACTCCAGTGGACGGGGATTTTATAGTTCTGGTTTCCAGGACAGATGGCACCTAAATTTATGCTCTTCCATCTCCCTGGACTGCATGAGACCAGTGCCCCTTTTTTCATCCCAAGTTAGTGTTGAATACCCTAGCTGGTATGTCACATACCCTGTTCTGATATGCCAGTGTTTTGTTTAGCTTGGCCTCCCAACCTCTGCATGCACTTAACTTCCCTCTTTGTTTCTGCTCTGGGAGGATTTTCATATTTCATAGAGCAACCCGATGAACTTAAATGTTGTCCTTTGTATTTTACCCAGCATTTCAATATCACGAAAGTGGGTGGGGGGATTGCCACATCAGCTCCATTTACCATTTTGGATGGAAGTTTTCTTTTTCAATTGTCATCTCTTTAAAGCCACTGTGAATTCTGTGATTTCCAAGCAGTTTTGAGTCCCAAACTGCTAACCTTAACAGTTATTCTAAGTGGCTTTTAGCTCCAATTCCGGCTGCCTGACTACATTTTATTTTGCAAAGGTGACCTATAAAGCCAGTACATTCAGCCTCTCCAGCTGTGTCCTTCCGATGCATCGAGGACACAAGAGGCCATCCGTCCTGACGGTTAAATCAGCAAGGTAGTTCATTACCTCAGTCTGCACCAAAGTTAATAAGACACATTACCAATCACATCTCCTTATCTTCAAAGCTCTAGAATACCCTCTGGTACTTAAGGAGATATTTATATTTTCCCACTGGGATCTTTGCCCAGAAGGAAGGCAGCCTGTAGTCCAGCAGGAGCTGGAAATGACCCAGATTTAAGATTTCTATCACCTTTTAAAGCAAAATACTTAATTTCACTTTCTGTAATAAACTGTACATAAAATACTAAGGAAGTGTTGGTAGGGTGGCAAGACAGGTTGGACTGATACTTTTCATCAATTAGAGAGGGAATGTCCTCTATCATTTGCAAGGGCTATAAGTACAGTGAAAATATGGGAAATCTGACAGAATTTTTGGTTTCTCCTAGAATAAAACTTCCTTCCTTGCCTTTATTTTTGGTGGAGTTGGGGGGGTGGGTAGCAGGTGGTAGTGATTGCACTACTGTATTTATAGGTTTGTCCAATATTTACAATCTCAAAGCTAATGGAAAATGACCATTTTTGTATTCATATCCTCTACTGCATCTTCCTGCTTTTTTCTCAGTTAGACAAACTCATAATCCAGAAATTTGCCTTCATTTTTCTTTGCTTAAAAATGTTTTATCACACTCATATGAATACCTAAATAACGTATTGCTCAATTTTGCTTATTTTGAGCGTCACAAAATATCATAGCCTATAATATTTAGTTTTTTAGGGCTTGCCCATTCTGCCCAACATTTTTGTGTCTGAGAGTCATCCATGTTGTTCTGTGTGATGAAATTTTCATTTTTACTTCTGTGTTTTCTGTTTAAATGTACTACAATGTATTTCTACATTCTCCGGTTAGCAGACATAAAAATTTTAGTTATTACCAAAAGTGATGAAATGAACATTCTCTTAACTGCCTTTGTTTTCCACACAAAGCAATTTCTCTGAGGTTATGTATGCGAAAGTAGAGTTGCTGGATTGTCGGGTATGTGACTATTCACCTGACTGAGAATGACAGATTGTTTTCCAAAATGATCATTCCAGTAGACACACCCACCGGCAATAAATACAAATTTTTGTTAATTTGTATCTTCTCTTACACTTGGAATTGTGAAATTTCTCATTTGTGTCAGTTGACATGGTATAAATACCACATAATCTTGACTTACATTCCCCTGACTGCTAATGAGGTTGAACATATTTTCATATATTTGTTGGATATGCATATATTTAGGTTTTCCTTTCATTTTCTATTGGGATGTCTCTTCTCTTTTAATTGACTTGGGTCATTCCTTTTTTACTCATCTGTTAGAAATTTTGCAATTGCTTTCTTCAAGTTTGAGGCTGGTTTTCAATTTCTTTATGGTGTCTTTTGATAAATAGAAGAATTTAATTCTACTGTAATCAAATTTATTCAGGTTTCTTTTTTGTTTTGTTTTTGTTTTGTTTTGTTTCTTACGAAATGTCTTATTTAAGATATCCTTTCCCATCCCAAGTTTATAGAATACTCTTCTGTATTTTCTGGTTGCAATCTTAAAGTTTTGCTTTTTTATATATGATTATGTTTTAGTATTACAGTAATCATTTGTTCAATACGTATCAAAAGCCATTTAAAAGTAGTCATATCCTTGAAATAGTTATTAGTCATATTCCTCTTAATATACCTCAAGGAAATAATTTGAAATATGAGAAAAAATCTATATTCATGGTGATCCTCACTACAAATTTATTAGCAAACAAAACCAAAAATAGTCTAACTACCCAATAAGTTATGACTGTTAAGAAAACAATAATACAGCCACTTAAATGAAACTTTAGATTTTCATTAAAAATATGTCTTCTTAGTAATACAGAAAAATTATGTAAGGTTTAGTGAAAAGAGCTCTGTAGCTAAATCTGCACTTTAATGTTAGCTATCATATTACTTGCATATGATAAAGTTTAAAGGAGCTCACAGAAAAGTGGGCATGGTTAAGGTTTTGAGATGTTAATTTATATATATATATATATATACATTTTTGTGTATGCTTTTAGTTTTTATTTTCCAGACTGTGATGTTGATGAGTTTTTTAATTTAAAAAAGTAAATCACTGACTCTTTAATTAATTTTTGTAATAAGATGTTTCCTTAATGATTAGTAATTATAAACATATTAGCTGATCAACATGACTAGTTGCTTTTTTAATTATCTACTGCAAAGGAAAGGTGAACAATATAAAATAAACATGTTCCATTTTCACAGCTTTAAAAATGAAAATTCCAAAGCCCCAGAGTCACTTCTATCAAATACTTTATCTGTGATATGTATTTCTTTCTTAGGAAGTTTGGGCGTGCTGGCATGAGTTATTGTCATACTTGGAGAAGGCAAACAAGTGGCTAAATGAAGTAGAATTCAAACTGAAAACCATGGAAAATATTCCTGGGGGAGCTGAGGAAATCTCCAAGGTGCTTGATGTAAGTTGTCACTTAATCGAGATGTGAAGGAAATGTAAAATGTCACTTTAGATAGTATTGAGAATCTAGAGTGTTAAAGCAGGAACCTAAACATCATATATCCAACTTCCTTATTTTCTCAAGATGACTGTAAAACCTGAAGAACTATCAAAGAACAATGAGACTTGTCTCAGGTGGACTATAATTTTGGCCTTGTCCTATTCAGAGATGTTAACTGACCAAGCATTCTTTGTGAATCAGCAATGTGATGCATCTTCCAAAAAAAGTTGAAGCACACACAGTGCCAGAACAAAGGGTGTGATGATGCAGTTATCCTATTAAATAATCAGATTGAAGGGCTTCACCCTCATTTTATTGCTTTTCCATCCAAAGATGGCTGCTTCACTGAGAAGCTATGTGTATGGGGGAAAAAGTGTGAAGGGCAAAGTGATTTCTTCTAGAGGTTGTACCTTTTTTTTTTTTTTTAAATTGGGGAAAGGAAACTCTGCTGTTGAATTTCTACCTACATGTATTGTTCAGATTCATGTCGCTTAGCCATCACTAGCTGTAAGAGAAGTTGAGAAATCGAGTATTTTACCTTTCCAGGTTTAAGAGTAGAGGGCATCAAAGAGGAAGGTGGCTGTGGATAATTTTTAAGTGTCCCAGTCCACAATCCTGCCACAAGCTCATGAAGATAGACATGCAGAAACATCATATTTTTTAAGTAACAAGGTCTTTCATGTTTTATTATCCCAATTCAATATTGCTTTAAATTGTTTTAACTTAATGATATGTAAATAAGAAGATACTGAGCATTTTGTGTTAATTCAATATATTTAGAAAAAGAAGGGAAATAGTAATTATTGCAAATGTGTTTCAGTCACTTGAAAATTTGATGCAACATTCAGAGGATAACCCGAATCAGATTCGCATATTGGCACAGACCCTAACAGATGGTGGAGTCATGGATGAACTGATCAATGAGGAACTTGAGACATTTAATTCTCGTTGGAGAGAGCTGCATGAAGAGGTATGACGATAAGAGTGAAAAATCTTTTTAAACTGATTTGCATAAATACCTAACAAATACTTTTAGGTTTCTCAGATAAAAGAAAGAATACTTTGAATATTAGTTCGGCTTCCAGGTTTTAGAAATTGTCATGTGCCAGACATGGGTAAATTATTTACATGTGTCTTCTATCATTTTGTCTTACAAAAACATTATAAAGGGTGGGTTTTAACAGGAAACAGAGACATACCAAATACAGTAATATGCTCAAGTCCACAAGCTGTAAATAGTTAGATTAACTATTCAAAATCAGATCTTATCTGATCACAGGATTCTTGTCCCTACCCAAGATTAACCGATATGTGTAGGTATCCTCATCTCTTTCTCCCTCTTTCCCTTTCTCTCTCTACCTTTCTTTCTCTCTTTTTAAAAAGATTTATTTATTTATTTGAGAGAGAGAGAACAGGAGAACACAAGTAGGGAGGAGGGGCAAGGGAGAGGGAGAAGCAGACCCCCCATCCACCCCCAGCTGAGCAGGGAGCTGACCGTGGGGTTTGATCCCAGGACCCTGCGATCATGACCTGAGCCAAAGGCAAAGGCTTAACCGACTGAGCCATCCAGGCACCTCCCACCTTTCTCAGCACATGCACATACATGTTACGGTTATATGCAATCTGTTAGTCATATGTGTGATTCTCTTAGTACCCTAGATGTTGTCTATTCCTCCCAAGTAATACTACAGAGCTTTAATTTATATATAACAGAGGGATGTTCATCTGTAAGAATTATACCATGTGTTTTCTGAATGTTTTCTTTTTTCCTTTTTTTTCTTTCTGAATGTTTTCAATCAAAATTAAGAGAAAAAAACATATTACTCCCAATCAAAGTATTGTGTTTTGCATATACTCTCCTAAATCAAGAATGGATTACTTGTCAAAAAGAACAAATAGATTATAATGAAGTTTAGTTTCATACTCATTTACTACATGTGTCTGTAACATGTGAGACAGGGTTCAAAGTTTAGGTAGTAAGTAGGAAAATTTCTTCTCCTTCATTACTCATAGACATTGACTAGTTAAGCAAAAATTCACTGATTTCTTAGTGTGTTCAGAACATAAAAACAAATAATATCCTTATAAGATGCAAAAAGTTGTGTTAAAAGTTATTCTAGAGGGGAGGGGGGTAGGAGGATGGGTTAGCCTGGTGATGGGTATTAAAGAGGGCACGTACTGAATGGAGCACTGGGTGTTATATACAAACAATGAATCATGGAACACTACATCAAAAACTAATGATGTAATGTATGGTGATTAACATAACATAATAAAATAAAAATTTTTTTAAAGTTATCACAGAAGATTAGAGAACAAAGAAAAAGGGCACAGATCTGTGTGGGTCAGCACAAGAACACATTTGGGGTAGCTTTTTTAGAGAAAATTCATTGTGAATGACATTGTATTTTTTTTTTAAGATTTAAAACATTTCTTTTTAAATGTTTTATTTATTTGACACAGAGAGAGAGAGCGAGAGAGGGAACACAGCAGGGGAAGTGGGAGAGGGAGAAGCAGGCTTCCCGCCAAGCAGGGAGCCCGATGCGGGGCTCGATCCCAGGACCTGGGATCATGACCTGAGCCAAAGGCAGATGCTTAACGACTGAGCCACCCAGGCACCCCAGATTTAAAACATTTTTAAAAGTAATCTCTACACCCAGTATGGGGCTCGAGCTCACAACCATGAGGTCAACAGCTGCATGCTCTACTGACTGAGCCAGAGGGCAGCCCTGTGAACATTTTAAAATCAGAATAGGAGATAGCCAAATGCACGGATGTAGGAGGGCAATCCCAGACAGGTAGATGTACACATGCAAAGAATTGGAAGCAGGAGGCTGCTTATCAATGCACATCTGCAAACCATTTGGTTTTGCCTGAGTGTAAGGTACAGGTCAGGGAGTACCTGAAGGTAGACCTGAACAAGTAGGCATCAGCAAGTTTGCTGAGGGAGACAAATGCTTCTCAAACAGCCTGGTCTATAACCATGCACTCAGGGAACCACTGAAGGGTTTAGAATGTCAGGGGGAAGGGCTACCTGGGTGCTGCAGTTGGTTGAGCATCTGACTCTTGGTTTTGGCTCAGGTCATGATCTCAGGGTTGTGAGATCGAGCCCCGAGTTGGGCTCGGCACTCAGTGTGGAATCTGCTTGATATTCTCTCTCCCTCTACCCCTCCTGCTCGTGCTCTCTCTCTCTCTCAGTAAGTAAATAAATATTTTAAAAGAATGTAAGGGGGGAAGGAGAAGAGAGGTGCCACAATCAGATTATATTACCTCTGCAGTGACTGTGGAGAGTAGGTGGTATAAGAGACAGGGAGGCTGCAGGTAGTGAGACCAAGGAAGAAGTGGTATTTTTAGATCAGTTGAAGACAAGGGTGGTGGTGATAGGTACAGTGAAAATGAGAAATCTAGGAGAGCATCTAGGTTTCTGATTCAGGTGACTGCATAGCTGTTATTTTTCATAAACAAGATTAAGAAAATGAGAAAAAAAGCAAGTTTGGAGGTAAAAAATCACATGTCACTTCTTATCTCCATTGATCCTGAAGTGCCTGCTTAAATTTGATACCAACCAAAAGCAATTCCTGAGTCAAGGACTTAGGTGCTATTAGTTAATTTGAGGTATAATACCAAGAAGGACAAGTGAGGGAGTGGGGAGAGTAGGGAATGAAAGCTTGGACGGTTGATAAAGGGTACTTTTATCAGTGAGTTTCCACTGTGAGTGACAGGGCTAGTCCTACTAGGAGCTTTAAAGAAATCATGTACTACACCAGTATCACAGAGCATGCTCAGAATTGTCCCACTGAGCTTATGGAAACTGGAGTGTTTATCCACCAATTTCCCTCCGTTTTTGTTTGAGGATTGCCCTCGGGTGCATAAAATCCTGCCCTTCTGGGCTATCGAGGGCAGTCCGAATAAGAAATGTGGGTGCTTGAGGTGGAAATGTAGCAGTGCTTGCAGAAACTCCACCATAGCTTTAGGTGAACTCAGAGCCATTGAGGTTAAGGGGCTATGTGGTAGGGTATCAACAGGGTCTACTAGAGTACTTAGGGAGTGTCTAGCAAGGATAGTCCATAATTCAGGAAAAGAGATACAGAGCCCTGAAGTTAGTGATCCAGACCAGTTATACAGATGTGGGATATACCAGACCACATGCTAGTTAAAACTGTAAAGTTCATGAAATCACCCCAGGTAAGCCAAAAGAAAATGAATCATGGACAGAATTTAGTAATTATACATAAAATCAAGATTTAGACAGGGACACCTGGGTAGCTCAGTCAGTTAAGCATCTGACTTCGGCTCAGGTCATGATCTCAGGGCCCTGGGATTGAGCCCCATGTCATACTCCGTGCTCAGCACAGAGTCTGCTTGTCCCTCTGTCCTCTCTCTCTCATAAATAAATAAAATCTTAAAAAAAATCAAGAGTTAGGCAGAGGAAATAGTGTTTCCAAAGGAAATGAGAATAAATGGTCACAGAGGTATGAGGAGACGCAAGTTAAAAGCAGGGTGCTTAGGAGGTAGCAGTGTATAAAGAGAAGTCATGAAAAAAAAAAGTCAGTTACAATAAAGAGGCCTCGTAAGATGAAGACAGAATTGGGTAAAAAAGACATAACATTTACCAGAATGGTTTTGATGGAGTTTCCCTGGGGATAGAGAGAATAGTGCTGGGGCATTACAGAAGACAGTAGGGAAGAGGAAGGAGGAAAGCAAAGTTTGCACTATGCTTGTAAGGAGCTTGGTTTTGAAGAGAAAGAATGATTGTAAGAGGGATGGTAGCTAGGAGGGTATGTAGGAAACCTTTTTTTATTTAAGTGGGGGAGAAGTTTGATCATGTTTGTAAATTGGAAAGAAGTGTGGAGTAGAAGAGCCTACCCCCCCTCCGAGGTCCCAAAGACGGGTAGGTGACCATAGGGCAGATGGATGTGGAGGTACCTGCAGGGATCCTCCAAACAGTTCTGAATCCTGCCACTGTCTTTCCTGAGTACTTTAGTCACCCTTTTTCCTTATCACTGTGAAGGACTGGGGATTGGAAAAGGAGATTCCAAACAGTCCCTTGGCTTCTCACTCTTGTTGCACTGTTATTGGCTGTGAGCAAGAGTAGTTATTTGTACATGGCAACTGACTCAAAGTTCATTTAAATTTGGATTCTGTTAGGGAATTGGAGTGTGCTCTAATTTATATTTGACTGTTAGTGTCAGGGTAGAAATTGCAGTTCAAGCAAAAAATCAAAAGTCACATTGTAGAACCAACCTTGACTAAGCTGTGAAAAGGCCCAAATTTTAATCTTTAACAATATGCAGAGTCTATCTATTCTCTCCTTAGAAACAGATCATTCTCTAACCTGACCTTGGCACCAGCCTTATTTATGTAATATTCTTGCAAACCTTTAATAACACAAAAACTACTTACGTTCTTATATTGCGAAGTTCTTTGGTGTGGAACCAGGCATTTTCCCCCAAAATTCAACTCAGAAACAGACTTTGATTGAAAACCTATTCAGCTATGTCTGAATTGAGTTGTTAAAGCATTGACTATAGAATCAGAAAACCTTGGATTGGAATAGCCCCTTGTATTAGTCATGGTACAGTGACTTGAACAGGGAAGGTTTAATATAAATAAGTATTAACTATTTACTGGGAATTCATTTTTAAGAGAAAGTAGAAGAGAACTCAAAAAGAGTCCCCTAGAGCTGAGTGATAGTACTCAAGGAAGGAACTGACTTGGAAAGCGAGGAGCTTTACCCAAGGCTGGGATTCAGACCTGTTTGGCAAGAGTGTGACTCCAGCCCATGAGATGGCAAAGAAGTGGTCTGAGTGGACCCCATCAGGGCTAGTACATATTGGGCTGAGTTTTATGTCAACAGAAACTTGGAGTGGTGTGCTGACAAAATTCATAGGGAAGTAGCCTGTAGGGCATGCTCTTCAATTGCTGGGAACCTGGGTGGTGGGCCTGTTGCACCTGCTAGAAAGCTACCTG